GCTATGATACTCAATAGTCTAGGAAAAGATTTTACCTACAGGTTATATTGGCCAAATTCCTAGGCAAACATAGTACCTAGAAGTAATGTTGGTCAATTTTAGGGATATACATTATACCCAATCGTTACTCTACCCAAATATACAAAGATAATTATAAGATCTATAAATTATAATTCTCAATATAAAGTAAAGGAATTATATAGGGATAATAATATGAGTTATTAAGTTAAAGAATTTAAGAAATGATAAAAACACCTAAGGTTACATGTGTTAGTGAGCTGTTATTATTCATCCAATAGCCTTGATTGAATTCAGCTACCCCAAACCTTTAATCGTTAATCTTCTAGAGAACTAGAAAGATATGTATAGATCTATACGGGGTTTGACAGCCCACATACGATTGCTAGCTACAATCCCGAAATGATAACTTTTTTTACGCAAGGATTCATTATTTGACGTCTGATGAAGCATCGTGCAGGGGAAATTATTGTCTACAATGTCGATTATGAGGTCTCATGGTAATACATCCCGAAAGCCTTAGAGATCCGACTACCTAGAGGTAAGCCTTCAAGTACTTAATAAAATAAGTTAGTATTAGTAAAACATCCTAATAAATAAAGATAGTAATACATGATCGATAAAATTATCCTATAAAGATAGTAAGTTAGGATTAGTAAAATATCCTATAAAGATAATAAGTTAAGTTTGATAAAATATCTTAACAAGGAAAGAAAGGTTTTTCTAAAAAGAAAAAGGATTCTTGTTAAAGAAGAAAACTATAAAAACCTATAAACTCACCAACATTATGTTGAAGTTTTCAAAATACATGTATTCTCGAGGAGCATGTCATCAAGGAAGCTTGTAGTAGTTATTTCTGTCTGTTTACCTTCTAGATATGTTTAGGTTGTGTGCTTGATCTACTAAACAATGTAACCACCGAATAAATTTATAATAAATAAAAGTATCGCTTGTGTTATATAATATTGTCTATTGTTCAATGTATCTGTTTGCCCTCGATCCAATTGTCCCTACGTCGCACAACCCGATGTTTCTGCTGCCGGCCAGGGGTGTGACAACTGCTAATCTCGAACTCGATGCGTCACAATCAAACATAGAATCATCTATTCCCTTGGGAAGAGTGAGAATCAGATCCTCACACAACTTCTTCCTTAAAGTCTCGAAAGTTGTCTGCTGATCAGGCCCCCATCAGAAAGTGACATTATTCTTGGTCAAGCAGGTCCATGACACAACAATCTTGGAGAAATCCTAAAGAAATATTCGATAATAGCCCACTAAACCAATATACCCTTCTGGCCGGGTCGACCAATATACCCACCTCATCACCGCCTCAATCTTGGCCGGGTCGACCAATATACCCTTCTGGTTGTTGATGTGCCCCAAAAACTATACCTCATGTAACCAAAACTTGCTCTTTGAGAAGTTGGAATAAATCCTCTCCTTCCTCAAGGTCTCCAACACTTCCCTCAGATACTCCTAACGTTACTTCTTGGTCTTGGAATAGACCAAAATATCATCAATGAAAACGATCTAGACTGATCTAGCATCAGTCTGCATACCTGGTTCTTGAGATCCATAAATGATGTGGATGTGTTGGTGAGCCCGCGTGACATCACCACAAACTCATAATGACCATAACGAGTCCTTAAGGCCATCTTCTGCACATCCAAATCTCTGACCCTCATTTGGTACTAGCCTGACCGCAAATCGATTGAGAACCAATATGCACTGTGAAGTTGGTCAAATAAATCGTCGATCCTCAGGAGCAGATAACGCTTATTCACCGTTAACTTATTTAACTCCTGGTAATCAATACACATCTGGTGAACCATATTTCTTCTTTACGAAAAAATCGGTGAAAAAATCGGTGCTCCTCATACTGAACTACTTATCATGATAAGTCCCTTGTCTAGCAGTTCCTGCAGTTGCGTACACAACTCCTGCATCTCGAGAGGTGCTAACGATATGGTGCCTTAGTTATCAGAGCCGCACTAGGAACCAAATAAATCTAGAACTCAACCAGCCTCTCAGGAGGCACTCCGGGTAAATCCTCATGAAACACATCAGAAAAATCTCAAACAATGGGCACATCACCCACGATCGTCATGCCCTCAACTCGAGTATCTATCCATCACATAAGCCAGAAATCCAAAACATCCCTTGTGAAGATATGTTCTAGCTCTTGCAGCTGAACAGAGAGCAGTTCCATGCTGAGCACCTTCGCCATGAATAACTACTTCTTTCCCACTTGGTGTTTGAACTCTCACTAACTGGTGCTCACAATCAATCATAGTGCCATTGGGGCCCAACCAATCCATCCACATGATAAACTTCGAACCTCGTAGAGGAATTGAGACCAAATCAATAGAACATCTCTCGATTAACATATTCAGGACACAATCCCGATGAACCCTTTGAAGCACAGGCTGAACGATCATCGGTGATCTCCACCTCCAAAGGATAATCTAGAGTCTCAGGTGAATCACTAAACTTCTTCCTAAGTGCAAGAGACACAAAAGATCGGGTAGTGCCCAAAATCAGGCCAGGTCATAGCCTCAATAGCTAGTGCTCCCAAATCATAACCAACCTCCTCCCACCAATCACGAGCTCGCTCCCTCAAACACCAGGCAGCGAACCTTGCCTTCGACCCCTCGGGGTAGAAACTCGTCATCAGGGCACACTCCGTGTCAGCTATCGAATGATTGGTGATAATGGGGTCTTTCATCCCGAAGAACTCTGGTGCCCCACATCCCTAAAAATCGTTGAACATGAAGGTACATGCTCCATACTGCCCATCGAACATCTCAGGTTGAGAGGTCCAAAACCGCTCCTCCATCAACTCAATAATCCTTTCCTTGATCATCCTAAACATCACAGGGGTCGCATCAAGGATACCTCACACAATCTTCGATGATATGAAATCGCATAAACCCTTATCAATTGGTTCAGTACTAGAGCCCGAACCGGAACTAGATCATGAACCTCCTGCTCCACCATATATCATCACCATACTAATATACAACACACAAACAATCAATATACACAAGAAGAAGCTTACACTCAAGGCGTTTCTTAGAATCATCATGACTTTCCTTGACTCATGTACATATCGTATGTTTTCATAGTAAGGGCCTAATACTACCTTCCACACCTATATGTATCTTTCTCAAGAATTATCCAAAATTCTCCAAGCTACCTCCTTAATCACTTCCTGAAAACCCCGCTAACCGTACACACAACAAACTACTATATTTCCTAAACTCTCTTAGGAATCCTTAACTCATTTGTTCCTACACTATCACGAAATTCTACCATCACTGTCGGTTGCCTTGTGCATGAAAATTATACACAAAATAGGATCACATAGACGTTGAATAAATGATTCTACCCTAACCTTACAACCAGAAAAGGAGCAGGAAATAAGGCCAAACTAGTCATGAAAACTTAATTTTCTTTAAAAAAGATTATCAATTCCTTAGTTTGAGTCCTGACAAACCTGAAAGTGTGTCTGGATACCTCAAACCAAGCCTCCAATACCAACTTGTAATACTAAGTAAATTTTTTTCTTTTAGTCAACCCAAAACATCCATTCATTCATTCAAAAAACTAAATGAGGGTAAAAAATGTATCAAATAGTCGTTAGAGTACAAAAAAATAATAGAATGCTGAATATTGGTGGATGTTGTGCGATCATGCTGGGCCCTTCCCTTCCGAACCAGAAGTACCTGAAAACATTAAACCACAAAATTGTAAGCAAAAGCTTAGTGAGTTATCTAAAATACCAGACACATACAAATCAGTGGGCCCAACCCTGTAGTATGTTTCAACCCAATACACATCAATGAGCCCAACCCTTGGGTATATTTCAATCCAAAACATATCAATGGGCCCAACCCTAGGGTATATTTCAACATAAACATACAATAATGAGCCCAACCCTGGGGTGTATTTCAACTCAAACATACATGAAACAGTACAAAGACAACTAGCATTCAACACAACACAATCTAGTGGGCAGGCATTACTGTCTTCGACCCACAAGTATAATGAGAAGACTCACCGCTCAGACGATAATCAACTGCTAATTTTCTCACTACTGACAATACCGATGCTGCACACCACCTACATAGTCATATAAGGTACACCCTTAATCTACCTTCCAAAACTGGGAGTTTGACTAAAAGTCAACTCAAGTCAACAAGTCAATGGTCATGGACACGGCTATTGGTCAAACTCCCAGTTTTGGAATGTAGATTAAGGGCTTACCTTAATCTACCTTCCAAAACTTGTTGACTTGAGTTGACTTTTGGTTAAACTCACAGTTTTGGAAGGTAGATTAAGGGTTTACCTTATATGACTATATAGGTGGTGTGCATCATAAATATTTCCGGTAGTGAGAAAAGTAGTAGTTGATTATCGTCTGTCTTCTCACCTCTCAGATTGTGTTGTGTAGAATGCTAAATGTCTTAGTGACTTTTACATATATGTTTGGGTTGAAATACACACCAGGTTAGGGCCCATTATTTTATGTTTGGTTTGAAATATACCTTAGCGTTGGGCACATTGATATGTATTAGGTTGAAATATACCCCATGGTTGGGCCCATTGATAGAATTTAGCACTCAAAACATGCAAAATACTTAGAATTTAGCACCTTGAGGAGCCGAATGTTACATATTGTTTTCCTGTTGAGAAGTAAGCTTTAGCACTGGCAACAAGGTTTCTTGCTATTGGTTTTGCTATGTATAGACCATACTTTATCTCTTACAAAGAATTATAGCATAGTAAGAACAACTATATAAATTTATTGGATGATGCAATACATACTTGTATGTATTTTGGTGCCTGAGTTTGTGGTGTTTTTGGCTGCAAACTTATTTTCTTGAGTTTTTGAAATTCCTGAAAACCATAAACGTACTCAAATATGTGTAATCTTAAATTATTGGAAATAATATATTAAAAGTTTTTAACTTGTCAAGTTTTCACTTAGTGGAGAAACTAATTTGTGTGTCTTGTTTGTATTTTTTTTTCTTTGTTGGAGTGCATTCAGATGAAACAATTTTGTCTACAGAAATTACCTACAAAAATACATAAGAAAAGTATAAGTAGGTTTTATGTAAATAAAAAACAATCTTCTGCAGTAAAAGAATGGTAACATTGTACTTACTGGTGTTATGGACTTAATTGTATGTGATTTGTTTTTTATTCATTAGAATGGTCTCCAATTCAACATTGTTGCCCACAGATTAAGTTACTTAAATAAATAAAGAAAAAGCGTGTAAGTATGCATTATAACAATGTTAAGTAATTACATACTGGTGCTGATGATACCTTTTCTTTTGTTTCATTTTTGGTTGTGACTGGAGTTGTCTCCAATCCTGCATTCTTGCCCACTGATGAAATTACCTTCAAAAATAAAGAAGAAGAGTATAACTACAAATAATCTAAATACCAAAAATCTATCTTCTATAGTATAAGGATGTTAACTTATTACTTACATGTCTTGATGATTCGTTTGTCTTTGTTAGGTTATTGTCACAGATTGCAGTGGGCTCTAATTCAATAGTCTTGTCCACTGATAAAGGTACCTGCATCAAAAGAGGAAAACTATAAATATAGCTCATCCAAATTAAAAAATAATCAAACTTGTAACGCCCCGATTCTCAGGTATCGATTTTATATAAGAATTTTCTTGATTTCAAGGTCTACTCGATGAGTTGGTTGCCCTACTCGTCGAGTAGCAGCGGGTTTGTCCGCATGTTATAGTGACCTACTCACCGAGTCCAAAAAGGGACTCGACGAGTAGGAGCTTGAGGATGAAACCCTAACTTCTGGGGTTTTGCACCCTATCTAAAGGATCATTGGCCTCCCCCAGCCTCCCCTTTACTGCTTCTTGTCCCTCTCAGACCCTAAATCGAGTGTGTGTGTTCTTTTGGTGTGTTCAAGCTTGGAGGAGGAATTTTGGAGGAGAAAACACTTTGGTAAGCAAGGAAATCAAGGCTAGGAACTCGTTGGGAGCTAAGAGATTCATTAGTTGTCACTCGCTGGAAGGTATTAAGCTGTTTCTTTGGCTCATCTCTCTTTTAACCTCTTTTGCATGAGTTTTAAGAAAGGTTTCTTGTGCTTAAGCCAAGATCTGAAGTTGTAACTTCAGATCTGGGCTCCCCTTGACCTCTAGATTAATAAAGTCATCAGCTTTGCCTAGTATGAGCCTTCCCTCAAGGGTGTAACTTCATTGCAAGCTTAATTTTGTTATTTTAGGGTCTTAAAAGCCTTGCATGCATGTAAAGTTTGCAACTTTACGTGATAAGAATGCCTAAGGAAGTTGGATATGCAATTTAGAGCCTTGGCATGGCTTAAAAAGTGTCTGTATGGTTGAAGGACTGAAGGGACTCGGCGAGTCGCATGGTCGACTCGGCGAGTCATATGAAGATGGGCATGGACCCGACGAGTTGGGTGAACAACTCGGCGAGCCCGATGAAGCTTGCCGTAGACTCGACGAGTTGGATGAACAACTCGGCGAGTCAGTTAGGGTTTCCCAATTAATGGATGCGTGTGGACTTGTCGAGTGCAAGAAGTAAACCCGACGAGTAGCCGTGGAGCTTCGACCACGAGCCTTAGGAACTCGACGAGTCACTCTGGCGACTCGGCGAGCGGAAAAGTATTGCAAGAAACTCGGCGAGTAGCTGAGGGTACTCGACGAGTTGAGGTCAACATGGACTGTTGACCTTGACAGTTGACTTTGACTTTGACCAAGGGTTGACTAGTTGACTTCTGGGGTATTCAGGAATTTATAAACCTTATGATGTGTTGGGTATAGATGGTAGGGTTCGTGGCGGTGATTCAAGAGTTGAGCTTTCTATCTCCAGTCGGCAGTCGCAAGGTGAGTTAACCTGACTATATCAATAGGGTCTAAGGCATCAAGGCGGACCCTTTTAGTTGTTATCTTGGTTACAGTATGCTACATATGGTTATGGTCTGTTAGATCGGTATCGGGATAGACAGTATGTTGTTATGCTCTTATGATCCGTTAGGATTGGTATGTTAGTGACCTGGTTAGGTCGGTGCTCTGGTTATGGGAGATTGCTATGATCGATGATCTATGAGATAGTTAAATCTGATATTTGTATATGCTAGTATATGTTAGTAATGTGCACATGGTTATTTGTTTGATGTTTGGGTTGAGGTGGTCCTGCTTTGTGCTGAAGGCCAACATACCCTACGAGCGGTCCGGATAGACTGTAGGCCCATATAGCGGCCCAATCATACCGAAGGCTCGGGATAGATCCAGATAGACTGTAGGCCCTGCAGGGCGGTCCAGTCAGGCCGAAGGCCCAGTATGCATGTTGTTGATTATCTGTTATTGATATGGTATTATCGGTGTGGTATTGGTATTTTGGGGGTAGCTCACTAAGTCCTCGGGCTTACAGTTTCAGTTTATTGTTTCAGGTACTTCCGTAGATCATGGCAAGGTGAAGGCTTGACCATACTGCTCCTCATCCATATAATTACATTTCTGGGACACTCTGATGAATAATATTTTGAAAACATTTTGTAAAACACTATTTGGTTTCATGGTTGAAAAAGTTTAACTTTGGCTTAAAATTTGTTGATGTTACAAGTTGGTATCAGAACCTTGGTTTGAGTGAATTGGAGGAATACTCGTGTGAATCCAGTCTCAAATCAAGGAAATTTTTAGAATAAATTCTAAAGTGGTTTTCAAAATAAGGGATGGAGGATGCAGAGTGTACGATCAGCCGAAGCCAGTAAGTAGACCCCAAAATACCATACAGTTATTTGATATTATGATCTGTTAGAACAACATGCTAGTGCTAGGCTATGGATCTTCAGGAATTGCATGATAGACTTGCCTGATTATATGATGCCTATTAGCCTAGGCTTTCTTTTATATGGAATTGACATCATTACTGTAGTTGTTTAGTGTATGCATCACGGCTGTGCATAATCAAGATCTTATAGCCTGAGAATGTTTGATTCGACCTTAGGGTAGGATTGGATATTAAAAACTCTATCGGGTCCAAAGTTATGTGTGGCTAGCATACACTAATGCTGCAGGGTTGGTGGAAGTTTCATGGATGGATGGGTCGGGAGAAGCCGTGAGGCCAGTTGAGATAGTTTCACATTCCTCTAGGAGTGGGGGTTGAGCGCTTGCTATGTTGATGTCTATTGTTAGGGTGTTATGGTGATACTTGAGACAAATATGGGTAGGTGTGGAAGGTAGTATGGGCCCGTACTACTGAAAGCACATGACCCATATGCGTAGCAAGGAAGTCACAACCCCTAGTGTTTGTGGGAATTGGTCTCCCGATATTATGTTGTTTATCTGACGCCTTGGGCATATTTTCAGTATGGTGATGACAGGACGCTTTACGACCGGATCAGGACCAGGATCAGGATCAGGGGGCGGAGGCCCGGATGAGCCTATAGCACCTGAGCCCGTGGTGCAGATAGGGACAAGGGAGTTGGATGCCAGGTTTCGGGAGATCCTGCATGATAAGATTGTTGTTGTGTTTCGAGCGCAACTACCAGAGATGTTTGGGTCGATCAAGACCGCTACGGTCGAGTACTTTGATAAGCGTTATGCAGCCTTAGCCGAGACGGCTGCCGCTGCAGCCACGTCGGCTGTAACAGAAGCATGGGGTGGAGGAGGAGCCAGCCGGGTTTTCCAGTATCGGGACGTCGATAACACGAAGCCCCCGACGTTTGATGGTGCATAGGATGCGATCAGGGCTATGAGGTAGTTATCTGACGTGGAGGGATGTTTCTTCACGTGCTCGTGTCCTACTGACCAGAAGGTCAGGTGTGCCCTGAACCTGCTGAGGCTTGGGGCCAAGGACTGGTGGAGACTAACGACTGGGTCGTATACCGATAATTAGAGAGCTGCTATTACTTGGGAGTAGTTCAGGGATATGTTCCGCACCCGCTATGTTCCCCGCGTGGAGCGGGAGCGGCTTGCTCAGGAGTTTTTGACATTGAGGCAAGATGGAGAGTCGGTGATGGAGATCACCCGCTTGTTCATGGATAGGGCTATGTTTTACCCGGAGTTTGCTTCCGAGCAGTCTCAGATGACCCGTTATCTGAGTATGCTAAAAAACGATATCCGTCAGTTTGATGCTACGCAACGTTGTGATACTCTTCTGGAGATAGAGCTGCAGTTGAAGGAGCAGCGTCAGGTTCCGGCACAGTTTCAGCCGGCACCTAAGCGGTCTAAGACCGCTGATACTAGGGCCGGAGGTCAGCAGAGCCGCACATGTGGAAAGTGTGGCAGGGGTCATTCTGGAGTTTGTCGAGCAGGTGGTGGTTGCCACAAATGTCGCAAGGAGGGGCACTATGGCAGGGGTCATTATGGAGATATGAGGATATGTTATCACTGTCATCAGGTTGGTCATGTGAAGACCAACTGTCCGCAGCTCGCCGCCAAGCCGGCGCAGGTTCCCGCACCAGCTACGTTGAGGATTCCAGATGGGAGGCCAGTCAAGACGGAGCCTCCGAAGGCTCAGGGGCGTGCCTTCCAGCTCACGGCCGAGGAGGCCAGGGCAGCACCGGATGTGGTTGCTGGTATGTTTCTATTCTCTATTTCAGTTATCATATATGTATTATGCTTATCTGTTGTACCTATGTTTAGGTACGTTTTTAGTAAACTTTTTGCATACATTGGTTTTATTCGAATCGGGGGCGAGTCGGTCGTTTGTATCTCAGACTTTCAGTAGGGGGTTCAGTGTGCCGGTAGATGAGCTCGAGTGTCCGTTGTGAGTTTCTATCGCCAACGAACATGGGGTTTATGCTTCTTCGGTCTACCGGGGATGTGAGTTGGAGATTTCCGGGGTATCCTTCCCGATACATTTGATTCCTATTCCCATGGGGGGAAGTATGTGTGATCGTGGGGATGGATTGGCTCAATCGATTTGGCGCCATGATCGATTGTGAGGGACAACGAGTAGTAGTTCGAACCCCAAGTGGGGGAGAACTCGTGGTATATGGTGAGGGCACCAGAGAAGGATAAAGGTTTTGTTCAGCAGACAGGGCTCGACAGTATATTCAGCACGGGTGTGCCGGTTATTTAGCGTGTTTGGTGGGTATGTGGGTCAGGGATCAGACTTCAGTTTCAGAGGTCCCGGTGGTTAGAGAGTTTGCTGACGTGTTTCCGAAGGAGTTACCTGGAGTGCCTCCGGAGAGGCAGGTGGAGTTCAGGATTGATCTAGTGTCGAGTGCGGCCCCTATCACTAAGGCGGGTACCGTTTGGCACCGCCAGAGATGCAGGAGTTGTCATCTCAGTTGCAGGAGCTGCTGGGTAAGCAGTTTATTTGTCCGATTAGTTCTCCATGGGGAGCACCGATCCTCTTCGTCAGGAAGAAGGACAGTTCGCACCGGATGTGCATTGATTATAGGGAGTTGAACAAGTTGACTGTGAAGAACCGTTATCCACTCCCGAGGATAGATGATCTCTTTGATTAGTTGCAGGGGGCATCTTGGTTCTCCAAGATAGATTTGAGGTCGGGGTATCATCAGGTCCGGGTCAGAGAGGAGGACGTGGAGAAGACCGCGTTTCGGACTCGTTATGGTCATTACGAGT